CTATATATATATATATATATATAGTACAAAAACCTGTCGTTGGACAAATCTTAACCAAACTTTGTGGGATACTAGTCTGGAATGAGAAACATGAAATTCCATGTTTCTGCAACGAAATATACATCGGAGAAACGGGAAAAAGACTCGCGACAAGCATAAAATAACATATAGACAGTACAAGACTCACGAAAACATAAAATTCAGCCATTGCAGAAAACGCCATGTCAACTGGACACAAAATTAACTGGGAAAAACTAGAATCATGACACAGACAAATTTTGGAAGACGAGAAAAATTTAAGAATCATTTTATATTAACGCAATTAAACCTTCACTAAACAGAGATTCCGGATTAGAGGTGAGTAATCTGTAGCTACCATTGGTTCAATCTACAGGAAATCTCTCCTCCAATCAGAAACAGGGATAAGTCAACCAATCATAACACGCTCTCCACAGTCCACCAGAATACTATAAAGACTGACAACACCTTACACACACTGACCTGAGAATTGGACCACGGTCCTCCTTCTAGCCCTGAAAAGGACGACAGACGGCCTCATCCCCACCCAAAATTTTTAGCCCTAGTGCTTTATCCCACCCGACGCATCCTCGAAGGCGCCGCTGCCTGATTTTCTAAGCTTAATGTATGGGGACAACCAGGGGTGTTCAGAAGCTTTTTTCCGCTTCTCTTCAACCCCGCTGCTTGGTGAGGGATGTACATATTCGTGAGTATTATAGTTTGTCCTGGATTTGGTTTGACCGGGTCTGGATCAAACACGTTGAGGTTGAAAGGACGTAACCAAAATTACCACCCAGAGTATAAGTAAGTACCTAAACATTTTTCTGTGTCGCTGAATAGATTTTTGTGATCCTGGCTCCCCTTCGTATTCTCGAAGTAGCATGTTTGAAAAAGCGTTCATACTTTCATCCACAATCTAGCACATGTGCTCGGGTACCACAAGCGGGTGTCCTAATGTTTTTTTTTTCGGATACAAGCCCTTCTTGGAGCAGCTGTAACAGTAATTGGAGATAAACAGTGGAGTTAATCAGTACACTGGGGCCTCTGTGAATCACGAGGGAAGCCCTTGAACCCCGCAACAGAATGCGGGTATTTTGATTTTATGTTACCAGCTTGAACAATGATTTTCAAACTTCGGAGTTTTTTTTGAGAGAAGTGACTGCCTCTTCTTAAATAGCTACACAGAATGAAATGTACTGTAAAATAAGGATTCGATAAACGTTAAATATGAGTTAAAGCATATTCAAATAAAATTATTAGTTTTATTGGTCTCTTTCTACAACGTATACATAACGAATAAGTCAGAACGTGAAATAAACTTTAAATTGACAATAAATCAGACCTATAATACAACGTGATCCAATATCCTTTATCCATCTCAGTAACGTTTTATTTATAACATATAATGCTCAAACTTTTCAGGTGATCTAGGTGAATAAGCGTACAGCACAATAAACTTTGAAAGTGTTCTGAGACACAATGTAAACAATATTACAAACTTCGTAGAGGCTCTGGGTGACAAGGCAATCAATAATAGAAACTTTTCAGGTGATTTAGGTGAAGCACTCAATAATAGAAACTTTTCAGGTGATTTAGGTGAAGCACTCAATAATAGAAACTTTTCAGGTGATTTAGGTGAAGCACTCAACAACAGAAACGTAGCAGATGATTTTGGTGACTAAGCAAACAAAACACACAAAAAAAACTTTACATGCACTCTCAGAAACTAATGAGAGAGAAACATAATTAGACATATATATTTTACTCATCACTAATAACTTAAAACACTTCAAGTAGTTGAATAACATGTTATTCTACAGTCATCATTAATTACTCAAAGTACTAGATGGTAAATTGTCATTTTTTTCTTCTTCACATTAAAATGTGTAATTTCAGTGAAGAAAAGAAAGAATCCATAAATAATGTACAGACCTAATCTATTCTTCGATTCGCTATTCTTTCTGCAGTAGACTAGTTTCGCGGAATTCACGTCTCATCAGTACTGCTTGAAAAAGTAAACCGAAAAAGTACACATGGGTCTTTTATAATGATGGAATTAAAATAATTTGCAGGGTTTCATACATAGCCCTTTACTCATTACTAATTACCTAAAATATTTTAATAACACATGAAATTACTGTCGCAGTTGATTATTAATAATTATTCAACGGATTCGTGGATTTTTCCCTTTCTTTCCTGAAATTACACATATATTAGCGAGGAAAAGCAAAAAATGTCAATTAATTTACCAGCTAGTCCATTGAGTAATTATGAAAAATTAATTGTGACAGTATAAGCACATGTTATTTAAATATCACAAGTATTTTAGGTTATTAGTAATAAGTAAAGGACTTTACATCAAATCCTGCAAATTGTTTGCGTTATGTACATTGTTTATATACTCCAGAGCATTTCATATTCTTATTTTTATTCTAGTGTTTCACTATCTTGCTAAGCAATATTTAAAACAAGTACAAGCATTTGAAGATGTACATTTACAACAGTCAAGATATTTTGAACAGAGTAAGTATATTAACAATTCGATAATCCATTTTAATGTAATTATTCTGACTTTTTTTATATATACACTTTTATGCCTGACATGTAAAAGACCACATTTAACTGTATTCATGTGTCACCTAATAATGTTATATACCAATTTGTAAACTAATTTTGCAATTAGATATTTTACAAACAAACTGACTGTTTATTGTACAAACAATGTATTTTAAGATATTTTAGATGTTTTAATTACTAGCCACATGGAATAATAAAAAAAGAAAAATATTCTGGAAAAACAAAACCAAGAAGGTGTATACTTCGAGGAAGCGACAGTATACAATGATCAATGTCCGATACATGCAGGAGTTAAGAAGTTAACCCTCAATAAAGTTTCCGTACTTTCGGTACGAAGAAAAAATTAGAAGAAATTCAATCACACTTGGAGATTTTATATCTCGTGTATTTCTTTATGGATTGCCTTGAAATTTGGTGTGTGAAGTAAGAGTCTTTCCACTGAAAATATGTGATAGCTTGGATGACCACAGTCGGAGTTACAGAAATTGGAAAAAGCATTACTAAACTATCACTGCTGTTAATAACACATTGTGTGTTCTGCAGGTTGTTTTGGCCGCACGACGCACTAATGTGTGTCTTGATCTGTTCAATTCACATATAAATGATTGATATTTCTTACCTAAGCCTTTAACAGTCACTAGACCGAGCATGGTCCATTGGTTAGCGTTTTGGATCATGGATCTGCGGATACATTTTTTTCACATCCTGTTACCGGAAAAACAAAATAAAAATTGCGCTACACACTTTGAGGCCGTGAGAACGTTCAAACGGTCAAGGTTAAAATCTACTATCAGTGCTGTTGTTGACTAGCTACCTCCAGTCTAGTCTATCAGTTCAAAATTAAAGACTTCTAGCACAGTTAGTTCTTGAGTAGCTTTGCTCGAATATCCAAAAAAATAAGTGCAGTCACGTATAATATTGTTAGTTAAAACATAATATTATTATAACAAGGGAAACTCTTTTATTCATTTATTTATGTACAATCACTCTGACTCATTACAAAAGCTCAAACATTAAACGAAGTATTATTAGAATGTTAATTTCTTCAGTATTTTCAATATCTGGTTTCATTACAGTGCTTTGTTTTAAACCGCTGTGTTCGCTTCAGTTACAGTACTGGTTTGAAACTATTTTATTATACGATAGGTTAGATTCTTTGAATACAAGTTGCCGTGGAATCTCTTTCCATCATTTCAAGATGGCGCATATATATATAATTTTGTTAATTCTTTTCGTTTATAAATATTCTTACAAAGCTACTCAAAGACTATCTGTGCCAACCGTTCGTCATTTTGATACGATAGATCAAGAAGAAGAAGGTAGCTAGTCAACAGCTCCCACCGCCAACTCTTCGGCTACTTTGACCGAATAGTAATCATTAGTATAGACCTTGATCGTCACTTTATAACGCATATACGACCCTAGTTGTTTTTTTATTATTATCATTTGCGGTTGGTTACGCGACGAGAACGTAGGACTCGCAAATTCATAGTCCGACACATTATTCACTGGTCGTACGTAAAATAATTCTATTTTTCTGACTGATAACTATTGCTATAAAACTTCTCGACAATTGCTGGTTGAGTATATTACCATAAACACTTATACAATTAGAATTAAATTCACTCAGTTCCACAGAGTTATCGCTAGAGGGCGCTTTTTATTTTTTTACCGTAAAACTTCCCATCTTTCTCTTCATAAAGCTGATGAGCGATAAATTTTATATTTACGTAAAGTAATAAACATAATAAAGTCCCTCAGTTAAACGCTTTTGCCTTGTTTCGCAAGTAGCATCTTTGTAACGTACAAAATATATATATTGACAAGAATCAACAAATAACTTGCAATAAAATAGCATAATTTTCAGATAAATAAATCAATAGCGCATATTTCATGAATATTTATTGACGTAAAATATTTCTCTATATTTATCAATTAGAAATACGGAAGTTTGAGGGCTATGTTATTCATGCGTAGAGAAGATATGTGTTATTATATATATATATGAAACTGGTATTTCATTCTACCTTTCATAGTAATCTTGTTAACCTTCCAGAACCCACCGGAAGCATGATCAAACTTAGTGATCTCCAAATTCCTGGGTTAGCAAGTGACAGCACCCATCTATACTTTCATCGTCCAAAGTGGATCAGGCAAAGGAAGAAACTGAACATAAGAAAATGTCGCATTCTGTGAAGTTAACATACGAAAGCATTACTGAGGCCAATCAAGTGATAATTCCTGGTATGTCAGTCATTGCTACAAACATCACAACGTTAATATCATAAAATAAGCTGCAAGGTTTTTTGTAGTAGGAGCCTCCTAAGAATCAAGTCCCTTATCATCAATTTTCCTGTATAGCTTCCTCTAGCTTGAGTGTGCTAAACGACAGGAACAACTCTTTTGACTGTTTGTTAATTAGCCACTCATATAACCAGGCTAATTATTTGGCATGTATAAACACTGTCACACCTTTTTTTTAACATGAAAATTTTCAAATGCTGTTTTCTGTGGTAGATCTTAAAAAAAAAAAAACAATGAATCTCGATACCATGCATACGTCTATATCGATGAACTTTATTAAGAGCATGTAGTAATGGTTTCGAATAATAATTGTTATCACTTGAATACGAACTAGTTTCATTTTCGGACACTGAAACCAAAAATATTGCTACAAGTTAGTACTTTACATGCTACACGAATATTGAATTATGTGTACATTTATTTTCCCTACTTTTCAAAGTTTGACTGTGAAATTTTGCTATAATTGTTTTTGTGATTAGTGTGCCAACATGCTTCTAAACAATTGTTTTTCTTTTTTAATTCTGCTAAAAGATCAAGAGGAAAACTGTCAATTAATGCTAATAAATTTCAGATAAATAACGTTTATAAATTTGGTTATCTGTTTTAAATATTTTATACAGACCCCGATCACAGTACTTATTTCTAAACAAGACTGCAAGAATTATTCTATATCTCAGATAAATTTTACTTTCGGAGGGTGGGGGAGAGGGGCATTCTTTTCTACAGTTTTCTTATTTAGATCTTTAGGCCTAAGGATGTTAATGAAAAATTATTTGTTATTTAGATCTTTAGGCCTTAGGATGTTAATGAAACATTATTTGTTATCCATTTCAGCTACTAAAGTTTTTACTATCTTACCCAAGGAATACTTTAATGATTTGTAATTTATTTTAGTACTTATGTTTCGTTTTATAGACTCGTTTCACACAGTGATAAAGCCAGAACACTAATCTTATTATTGTGACTGGTGTGTATACGAAAACTTGCTGCAGAAACTAAAAATAATGAATTTGTGTTAGAAAAGATTCTGTTAAAGAGCTGAAGTTATTTTACGGATTACACACCATATTAACAAGATGTGAATCAAACGTTGACGTAATTATTTTGAAAACAGTTTATCTAATCCTGTGAAAAGGGAATATCATGATGAATGTTCAGAAACTATAGTTCTGGGAGTATTTATTAGTTTTCACTAGAGGCTGCCACAACAAGATCATTAGCAATGTCGTTGTTGTTTAGCGCAAAACTACGCTATGGACTATATGCACTTTTACCACCGTGAGGAATCGAACTTTCAGATTTTTGCCCTGTAAGTCCGTAAACTTACCGCTGACACACCGGGAGACAATGAAAATCGTGCCTATTCTGAGGATACATATACTACCTACTGATGGATCCCCTGATTAACTCAGAAATATAGCTATATGGTTAAGTACAGAAAGGTCTAGCTAATTATCATGACATTATTTCCTTTTACGAAAAGGTTAAACGTGGACAAATTTAAAATACCGTTATTAAGAATTATACGGGGCTGGGCGTAGTTAATGGTTAGCTTACTCCTTGTTCAAGGTCCGTTGTTGTAAAATCGCTTTCCACACTTCGGGCCCTTGGGAACGTAAATTCACTATAAGGTTGGCGGTCAAATTTCACTGTTCGGTCAGACTAGATTAGCCAAGAATTGGCTGTGGGTGCTGATGACTGGCCTGTCAGTTCCTTATTACTCAAATAACGCTTGTGTGTCTTTGTGCGAAAATTCTAACAAAAAAAATAGAATCAAAACTTTTACTTAAAACAATTAAAATAAATAACCAGTTAACGCTGTTACATTACACTTCTTACATGCAGACCAACTTATCTTACTTCACTTTTCGGAATTTATATTTTTTTAATTTATTTTATCTAGTTTAATCACGGAAGAAAATATCCGAACTACAACGGAAGCTAACGAAAGTAATTAATTAACCTGAGAAGGGAAAGAAGTGAGTTACATATAAAAATGAAAGGAAATACGTTTTTATGTTGCATTGGTACAATTGTAATATTTGCCATGAGCTGTCACTTATGAGGGTCGGAATCAAAGGAAGGCCACTACCCTCTATTTTTCGCCAAATAGTGTTTTTCGTATAATTAAGGGTGAACTTACGAGTAGTATCAAGTGCTACCGGGGTCATGGAATTTGAATAGTAAACATGTACGAAAAGTTTGTAAATTAGCGTTTTTGTATGCAAAATGTTTGAAATAAGGGTTGTCTGCAGTGAGAAGAGTTCAAACTCAACAACATCTAACTAGTTTAGATAAATTACAACTAACACTTTCGAAATAGAGTGGAACTGAAAACTACTTCCTAAAACTACAAAGGCAAAGTAAAAACTTTCTATTCATAAGTAGGTCAAGAATTCAACTTCCTTTTCAGAAGTAAAGCAAGAAATGAACTATTTTTCTGGTCAACGTTCCCAACAAATTCTCCTATTATGTGTTATAATCACCCGTGTCTTAAATATAGACATGTAATTAAGACACGGTAACTAAACAATCAATAAACCATATTGATAAACATAATTTTATCGTTGTTACGGCTATATGTATGATTGCCCAAGGCTTATTATGAATTAGTAACTAAATTTTTCTTGACATAACTAAATAATAATTATTAATTAGTTTCATCTTATGTTTCGGCTGCTAATCTACTGACGCCTTATGGGAATTAGCTTGGATTCAATTCTTCTATCATGGATTTTTTTATGGAAATTTTGTGCGTTATACACCACTTAGAACTTGAACCAGTTATTGCAATGTTTTCAAGACGGATATCTAGGTTTTTGCTGACTTCTGTGCTAAGCTGACTGGTTATGTTACCATATAGGTTGGAATAGAAGGCTTCTTTTATCTATATTTTTCTCTGTGTTGCTCATATCCTGTTGTTGTAGTATTATTCCAATTTATGGCATAGTCTTCGTCTCTGGTATGACGGACTTTTGCAGGCAGATCCGTATTAACAAGTCTTGGATGTTTATTACATTCCTGAATTCTAACTTTGTTGATCATTTTGCTTTTCGATTTATTAAAATCCACATTAATTTCCATAGATTTTCGGTGGTATTACAATACTTACGATCTAACAAATAATGTCAAAATATAATTCTAGTACATTTCTTTCTAACGAAGCTTTATATGGCTGTGATTGTTACGGGAATTGCTGATTTACATATGGAAAATCGTTTTAATATAGCTTATTTAACTCTCTGTATAGATTCAGAATTTTCATATTTGATTTGATATATACAGACCCATTTATGTAGTTTTCGTTACTGTAAGGTTAGTTCAGTCCATAAAATCAATTACGAAAACATAACGAAATCGGGTAAATAACAAGAAGTACACAAAAGGAAATTTAAGGAAGCGTTATTAGCAAACATACACAAACCTAATATATTGTTACGACAGCGGAGGTCACGTGACTATAGTAACACGTCATGCGCTTCTCGAACGTTCACGTCCCTTCCTGAAATCTCGAGAGGCTACTAGACATGCGGTAGTCTTGTATATATAAACTCGTAAGAACTGACGGCAACAATGTAATGTGTGTAATTGACAGTTGAGTCGAGCACGTGAACCGATCGTTGTGAATTATAGCGTTTGTTATAGCGCGACTGTGGAAATTAAGTGTATTGCAAAGTTGTATTCAAAAAGAATAAACCAGTTTTATTTAAGAAAGGACTTGTATCGCTAAAGTTTCATCGGAAAAAAATTTACGGAAAATTAACTAACGAACCGAGACGTAACAATATATATTTATAAAGGATGTCACTTTCACCTTTATTGAACGCCCTCTATCACACATGACTTCTTAAACAATTTAAAAGCCAATGTATAATATTATTCTCATCCTTTTTTTTACGAAATTTTGCTGAAGAAGTGAAATGTTTTGGTTTACTGTTGCCCGAGAGAACCTGAACTTTTGACAGAAGTTCAGTGGGAAGACAGTTGCAGGTTTTATATCTATAAACAGAGGCGTGGGAACCGGGGGTGTTGTAGCACTCTCACTTTTACATACTGGACTGATATAGGAACTTTAAATTATATTCATCTTCTGGGGGAGCATGCTCCAGACCCCCCCCCCTAGATTGAGCTACTTTTAGCAGCTTCTTATAATTCCAATCACTCATTGTAAAGTCAGCATGTCTATCCAAGCACACACACTTTACAATTCCTTCCTACACCACTGGTAAGGTTTGCACGAATAATGGTATTATATATATATTGATATTCATCAAGTCTAAAATTCTAAAACTAACTTTTTCACTGTAAACAGGAAAATAAAATATATTAAGAAACATTTATCTTTAAAATAGTGACCTTCGAAACAGATGAGGTAAAAATAAATGAAAAACAAGAAAGAGTACATTTAGTAGTGAGACATTTTACCCTATTATTTATTTAAAAGAATGACATGATTATCTACTCTCCATGCAAATAAAAACACATATGGCCAAAAAGGTTGGTAAATTACATTAAAAAATACACACATTAAAGCATTTACGCTTTCGACACATGGACACATGGACCTGATTATTCGATGTTTATCCTAGACAATAATTATTTTATCATCTGTCAATTATGTTTCAAACTTTTTCAATTTTATATGATGGATATATTATTGGCTCACTCTTCATTTCTTAAATCACTCATAACGATCTTCTCTTGCATAAAAAAGCATTTTAAAACATATACAGTGTTAGAAACGGCCCACTAAATAGTGGCGGCTTTAGCATATTTTAGGAGGTCATGTTTACTGTGATGGCGTGAATTTATTATGGTGCATATATGAAACATTGTTTATGTACTAAAACCCGAAGATCCTGCCGGAATTGGTCCAGGAACTAGAGATTCTAAAAGACGGTGCACTGGTTTGACCTGTAACAATAATCCATTACTGTTGAACAATGGGAACGCAGTTATGTGCCTGAGGATACGAGGATATAATCCTTACACATAACCAGCGAGAGAGCCATTGAACTCGGTAAAACATGTTGCCTCGAGCAACAGACAAGAAAGAAAAGTTATAACACGTAAATGATATAATGTTCCATACTAACAACTCCTAAAATAAAATCAAAAATACAGTTGTATCACTTCCTTAAAATATTTGTAATACTTTTGGAACACAACCACGCTTTCATTGCCATTGTCAATTACCTTTATGACTACCAAAGTTTAATTGATGATTAGTT